AATCTAGTTTTGATAGAATAATTCAGTGATGACATTTTATGAAATAACTAATCGATTATTTGTTGTCAGTTTCATTAAAATTTGCCAGTAGCTTAGATCCGCCAACCGGAATAGCCACCATATTCACATTGATGCTATTCCATGGCTGTGTTTAGAAAATTGAAGTAGACTTTTAAATTTACGACACATCAGACATAGGTGAATCCTTTTTAGGGTCAGTAGGCATGTTATGTAGATTTGCCGAACGAAGGTCATTTTGTGCGCACGTGCTTGCAAGAGCGGCCACGTGTAACACGTGAAATGGCCAGTATAATGGATATTGCCGTTACTGTTCTAGTTTTGATGAAAAGTTCTGAAACACATGATGTTAGGATATATTTGTAGTATAGACAAGACGACATGATCAAAATAGCAAGATCTCAAGTGCATGCATGTGCCCTTTGCTCTAATTGGCTGACACTAAAATCTTATTATCTTTTTTTTCATTATCCTTTGAAATTTTGAACATAGTCATACATTATGAAGATCTACAGCATGATGTGTAAGAATTATCATGAAAGCATGCGCATTCACTTGTGTTGCAATCTGATTGGCTGAAACTTCAAATGCCTATAACTTTCTTAGTTTTCAACAAAACGGGATGAAATTTAGAATATGAACAGGTATAATGCTATTAATGATATCGAATTTCTACATTATAATATTGTTAAAACTGAATGCACGAACATGGTATGTGTGCACGTGCGCGCGCAAAATACGTAAATTGACGAATATATTTGAAAAACAGTAGCATGTATAATTTAAAGATTTTTTGTTGATTCTTACGATATATATATGTTAATGGTTTAGACAACATGCCATGATCACATCGCATATGCATCCACGTGCACTGTTCATACAAATGTATTTTGAAAAATGTTTTGCAGGAATTAAGAACAAAAAGGAGTTGGGGAAACTTTGGGGAACATCTGTAGTCCCCGTTACAATTTACACAAGTTATAATATGTAAATATATAATAGTTCGTAACTTTTTCTAATTCGGACAAATGGGCCTTCGGACTAGTGGGCCGTCAGACTTGTAAACCTTCGGCCTAGTGGGCCGTCGGACTAGTGAACCTTCGAACTAGTGGGCAGACCCGATTTTCATCACAACATTTAATTTCATATTTGGAAGTTCACGGTTACTAGATGTAAAATAACTGTTTAAGAGTGAAATATTGTCTATAAATATGTAAAATTCCTTTACTAATTGGAGCAAGTCATTTAATTACCAGATATGAATGCGGCGTGTGATCAGGTCACTTATGACCGAGGCATGGCTTTTGAAAAAACTTCATACAGGTATGCAGATATTTGCCCTTTATAGGTTTATATAATAGAGAGATTGCACAATTATATATAATTTCAATGAAATCAGCATGCATGTATATAATTAATTAAACACAGATACATTTATTTATTTTGTTTCAACGCAGATACTGCATTATGCTGCACTATAACTGCATTATAGAACATAGTGTGATCGCATATCCAACTACACATTGCCATTTATTTACTGATAGCACAAAGATTTAATTCAAGTGCAGATCTAGAAACTCAAAGAAACTTTTTTTTTCAATATTCAAACTCGACACATAGCATATACAATAAAACTTAAGATAACTGAGCTTTTATTTGATAAATAATGCTTTTGAATGTTGAGATATTTTCATTTTTGATGAAAATGGATGAACCTGCCCAGTCGGAAAGCCACAGACGGGGATTGGTCATTATCAGAGATTTTTACGGTCCAACGGAAGACCTACTCGTTGCTTGCAACAAGATCTGTTCTAGTTTATGATTATCGTACATCTTGTATTTCTCAAATTTTGAAATACTTTGTTTATGGAGACAGATTGATAAACAGTAGTATTTTTTTTCACATCTGATGCCGAAAACGTTATTATTTTTAGTCAAACATTTTCTTTACTTAGCAAATGGATCGATAAAGATTTAAACCTTTGCGGATCAGTTATGCATGGATGATCGGATAACCTAGTTCAAGTTAATTCTTGCCTACTTTTATCGTAAGCATTTAAATGCGAACAAGGTATCCAAGGTAAGACAATTTTTGTCAGTTTTAGTTTTCGTTTTCATTTTGAACATGTTGAAGTTCTATCATTTACTTGTTGCAACTGAATAACGAAATTTTAAGATATTTCATTTTTTAATTTAGCTACGCCATAAAATAAATATAGTTTGACAAACTAACAGAAAAGAAATAATTGCCATCCAACGCATTTGTTTCAAGGACCCCTTTCTCCACGACATATTTTTAACAATTTACATGAATTTTAAAAACTATTACATATGACATCTTATAAACATTTTTCGATTGTTTATATACTCTATAAACATGAGGGATAACGTTTATCGTCATTTTTTAGACTCTGTTACAGCTTAACATTCGTCCTGATTTGTGACCATTTGTTGTTTTTGTGAATAGATTTGAACAGAATGGGTGAAATGCGCATGTCAAGATATAATATGTTCTCGTATCATTCATCACAATGTTCACCAAGCGAGAATCAAAGTACAAATGTAATCATGGGATTTTATAACCTCAAGGAATGTATTTTTAAGTACATTATTATTACTTTAAAGCCACTGATTTAACTATTTTTAGAAGCGAAATCTAAATTGTTATATCAAGAACGTAGACACACTAAAAAATCTTGATATGAAAGGACACACGAGTTCACGCAGATAAACAATAATTTGGAAAGGCACTATATTGGGATTTTCAAATATATATATATATATATATATATTTAAAATATTAAGTGTTTTCACTTGAATTGAGCTCACGATTTTAAGAGCTTTTTTAACATGGGGTGTGGCTAAAAGTGAATAAGAATTGGATGTAAACGTAAAACCTGAAATTAGGATATGCTCTTCTTATTTTCATGTAAAGTTGTATTCCCTGAAATTCATAAAAAAAAAAATACATGCATCAAAGATTAAACATTTGCGAAATTTGGACATTTGAGTTTTTGTTAGTGTACCAATTAAGAGACCATTTGCACATTGTCCTTTCAAACTACAATATAAAATATATGCAAGCAAGCGCATACTAACCTTTATAAATCATGCATGGATAATATTCTATGTAAAAAGTGACTGATCTTTTTCATGTTCATAAATAAGTAAATTCTGTAAGCACGAGTGAAAGAATTTGGTCTCTATCTGGAAGAAATCTAGAGGTAATTGCTTGTAATAACCATGTAAATCTGCTTATTGGTCATAAATAGAGAAGACTTTCAAAGATTTACATTTGACCTACTTTGAATACCTATATAGTTTACATATAATTTTTATAATTAACTTAAGTTCACCCTGGGGTGTAAACTAAAACAAAGTACCCTGAAGATTGAACAGGGTTAATGTTTAATTTAACCATGATATTATATGTTCAGATATATTGATGTATACATTGTATTTATCCAACATTTAAAGACAGGTGATACAAACAAATAATGGATCGGTAAATAATTTTTGCCCTATTTCATTACAAATGATGCAAACAACAAATTTGAATTTCTAGAATATAAAGAAATTGTAAACATGTGATGTTCAAAAGTGTGTCTTTCCTAAACCATCCTTGTTAATCAATACAAATATTTTTCACTTGAAATAAAGCATTTTTGTGACAATTTGAACAAAAAATTAAAAATAACGCACTTACGCGGTGAAACATTCATTTTACTCATTTAAACATGACCCAAATTGTTATTTTCATTTTTTTTTTTACATAAGCTTTAATTGTTTGTATCATCTGTCCTTTATAAGATACTGAGTAGTTTAACGGTGATGTAACTCCAATTTATGATAAAACTTGGCCCAACATGGCACGTAAATAAATGTACAATGTTTTAATCATTTTCTCTAAAGAGCAGAGTGTTTATATAAATTTGGAAAGAATTTGCCTACAAAGAAGGTTGTCAAAGGTGTAAATTAATATTAAAATTTGACTAACTAAGTCGCACCCTGGTGCCTTATTTGATTTGTTCCCATCTCGACTTAACTGTAAAATTTAGCATTCCCTTAGTAAGCTCTCAGGTGAATTAAGGTGATGAAGATTTATTTGTTTTTTTTTTTTAAATACTTGGTATTGCATGTATTATTTTTTCACTGTATTCATTAATTTCTGTTAAATTCAGTCTAAAAATCTTTATCATTTAAATTCTTATATCAACCCTGTAATAATATTTACAAAAACTATAATTCCCATTTCGCCTTAGTACCTTTTAACTTTTTATTATCTGTATTTCACAGTTAAGGCTAAATGGGAACACACCCCTTATTCGTTTACACAGAGGCCACGGTATTCATGCTTTAAGTAGTGGGTTCAGAGCTAGCGCTAGCTCATAAGCATATAACAGTGTGACTGTTTAGTGTGTAAGGTAAAGATTTTTAAGATTGTATTAATTTAAATGATTTTTGGTTTTAACCCTCACTTTGCTACGTCATGTTACTAGAGGATATATGGAATCTATTTTCAAACCATAATTTCATTTTAATTTGTGTAATTTTAGAGTAAAATATCTAGTTATGTTTTGAAGAAAAGTATATATTTTACACTTTAATTATTTTTGATTTGTCGAAAATCATTTGTTCATCCATTCATAAAGGGGTTTTAATGCTCAAAATGATAATGGCTGTGGCGTAAGAGAGATAACGCTTGTTAGCTTTAAAAAAAACCATAAAGGTAATATTTTTAATTCAAATTTAAATGGCACGTTCGGGTTTGCATTGAATACTTAAGTGTCGTTTCCAGTGAAGTAACACATTTGATCAAAACTTCGTAAATTGCATTTAGATCTGTCCAGAGATTGGGAACTTTAAAATTTGTAATCAGATTTGATTGGGCAATTAAAACGTTTGAGAATACGAAAGTAATGTTTTCAATATATCTTCTATAGGGTTTGTATGGGTGCGTGCTTGAGGGTGTATGTGAGGGTGTATGGGTATAGGTGTGTGGGTGACCTTTGAAAGACGTAATAACGACTGCAACGAATACAAAAATATCTTGGTAGGTCAAAGCTCTTTATTAAGAGAAAAATGAATGCAAAACAGTTAATGAAAGAAATCTATGTTCAATAAAATTACAAGATTTTTATTTCAAGGCCCATTGTTTAATAGTAAGTTATGATCGATTTTCAGCTAAAATGAAGATGACAGAAATGAAACTTCTTTTTATCATCTTTGTAGCAGCAGTAAGTACATAATTTGGAGTTTGTCAATTTTATCTCTCGACATTATTTAGATTTAAAGAATAAACATCAATAAGCATAAGATTTGCCATTTAAACGATTTTTTACATATACATGTACTGATGTATATGTATATATATAGTGTAAATTACATTTTTGAAAATTAAGGTTCTACTGTATTTTTTCTATTTTAGTTTTCGCAAGTACCTGATTTCACATTGAATATTTTTGTTTTTGAGTTATGAAATGTTTTTTTATGAAAAAGGTCTGTAAAATGTATTAATGATTAAATCTTTTCTTGAATTCAAAAATACAATTTTGTATTTCTGATAAGTATTATAATTATTCGTAAGAAATAAATGACTGCATTTACATGTATCTTTATTCTTAAAGAAGATTGGTCATATCAAGACACAATGTATAGCATCTGTTCCTACAATTCGCTACGTACCTTCATGCCCCAGTGATGAAGAATCGTGGCGAAAAGCCGAATTACAAAAGAACTGCCAAAGTTTAGCCGAAATCCAGACATGTGTTCAAGATTCTTCTAAATTTAAGTATCACTGCCTTGTGAATACCTTTTTGAATGCAACTTTAGAGGTGTGTGCACCAATTCGGTTTCTCACAGGTAACACCTTCTTATAATCATCATTATTAGATTTGCTCAAAATATGTTTATCAGGGCACTGAAGTTACAATAACAATTGCCTATTCAAGTACTATATCTTTTCATAGGTTATTGTGCCGATTTCAATATCCAGGAAAGTAAAGTAACGGAGAATTACAATATTGATTGTACAAAGCTAAGGCCTGCATGTCCTCCTAGATATGAATCTACAGAGATCTATAAATGTAGGTTCCTTTCATTGGCAAGTTTAGCTAATTTGAATAAGCTCAAATACCGGTTATCAAATTCATTGAAACTAAATGATTGTTGAATTGAAATAAGAATGCATTTTATCATTTCAAGACCAATCCTGCTATAAGCTGAAGGAAAAATATATCAAAATTGAAAATTCTTCTGAATTATCTGACTACAGTACCTTGGAAGTCTCCACAACTTCAATTTATGTACACAGACAACTTGAAACAGGGTTTGTATTATAATTTGTAAATGAAATATTTGAAACACAGTGTTTATCTGCAGTCTCAAAGAAAACTTTGTTAGTTTTGTATCTAGATCAGTTTAAACCGTTGCTTTAAAATAAGGAAGTTCGTACTGAAATCTACTATAATTTTAAGCAAATACATACCGAACTAACCGAACACAAACGAATACCAGAGCAAACCCAACGCACTCTGTGTTCGCTCGTGGGCTGCCTCGTGTCCGCTTTTAAAAACTTTAAGACCGTTCTGAGTGTGTCATGGGTGCACTTCGTTTTTGCTCCGTGTTCGCTCTGGATCTCCTTTCGCGAACCCGGTATACCCTTTCGGAATCGTTTTTCGCCAGGAAGACTCTCCCCTTTTACAGTGAAAGCTGTCTAATCCGACATGCACTGGGAGATAAATTCTGTGTCGGAATAGATAGGGCGTCGGATTACACAGTGTAGAAAACTAGGAAAATACTAAAATGGGAAAGAAACTCAACGTCGGAATTGACAGTGTGTCGGATTAGACAGTTTTCACTGTATATGCACTAGGCAAAATTGCTAACGCATCATCCAAGAGAATAAATATTTTACTTTTGAAATCTTGTTTATGATCTATGTGATATATGATTATGTTACTTTGATAAAACAGAAGGCATATAAATGCCAAAGCTTATAAATACCTACATGTTTATTGAAGCGTTTCCAATTTATAGAAGAAGGATATTGAGATAACGAGCAGTAACTTAAAGTCCATCAAACAATACAAAATAGGAGCAGAGCAAACACGGACCTCCGAAACATCAGAGGTGGGATCAGGTGCCATGGAGGAGTGAGCATCCCCTGCTTACCGGTTACACCCGCCTTGTGCTCCTTGTCATGGTCGGGAAATAACAGGAAAATACGTCGTTAATTCAGTTTTAAATATTAGACTAACAATTAGTATGAAAAACGTCAGTCAGCATTTGATTCAATGATAAATTTTATTTGCTGATGTATCGACCATAGAACTTACGAAATGGTGACTTTAAACGAGACTGCTGATATTCTTGTTTCATCAACTTGCTTGTCAATAATTTACCTTGTTTTAGAAATTGCTCATACGTAGAGCATGCTCTTGCGTATCGAATCAACTGAGATATAAATACTCCGTATGTAGGTGCTAAAGGTATATTGCTGCATAAGTAAGGAAAGTTGACGATAGAAAAGTTAAAGTCATCACCTTTATCATAAAGCTTGGTTGTTAGATTACTAATAACTTCTTTTAAAATAAACTATCCAAGTATGAAACAGATGTATCAGACTCTGTGGTATCTTTTATCTCAAGCTCACCAGGATATATCGCATCGACGTAGGAATAGAAATTACCATTGTTAATTGACAATACGTCGTCGAGATATCTAAATGTCCAGTTGAAGGCCACAGCAACTGTTTTCTTCTTTTCACGCATCAGATTTTGCACAAATTCTGCTTCATATGAATATAAAAATATGTCTACTAATAATGGAGCGCATTTGGTAAACATGGGAATTTAATAGAATGTTGGAAGACCTGGTTTCCGAAACCCATATAGTTATTGTAAATCAGAAACTCAAGCATCTCTTAGATGCCAACAACAGAGTACTTTTGCAATCAGAATGTGTTTTAAGAAAATAATTTTGTAAATGACGAATGACCAGTTAAGTAAATTTACGAGTTCGATTTTTATTGAAAAAACAGCTGTCAGTGATATAAAAAAAATCTGGTCTTTAATTTATTGTGGGGAATAGTTGTGTATAAGGTTGAAAAGGCGTAAGTTTTTAAGCTGTTGATTTTGTGATTTCAAATTGTCCAAAAGTTCTTTGGAATTTTTGAGTATCTACATCTGATTCACGCCACTTCTTGAATATATTGTTGAACAGTACTCTTGAAGTTTTCCCTTCACTACTGTCCATATCTTGGTGAGGAGTAAAGAAAGTGGCTTCGTTGAACATTTACTGGAACCCGCAATGTGTCTTTGTTTTGTAAGGATTTTTAAAAGGTTTTAGAATACAATATATATAGAGTAGTTCAAATTCATTTTGGCTCTGTGGAATATTAATAATATTAAAAACTGACAAATGATTTTGAAGAATTTTTTCCTCAGAAAGGGAAGTATGGGCATAAATAGGATTGCCACTTGTAGAATTAAAACTAAGTTTTTCTAAAATACAATTTATATAATGAGCCTTACAAACGAAGACAATGTTGTTACCTGCTTTGTCGACAGGGACCAGTACGTACTGCTCATGTAATCTATCTAATTCTTTTTTAACTTCTGAATTATTAAAAACACAGAAGGATAAGATGGTTTTCATATTGTCCCTCAATCTTTTAATACGTGACTTTAACATGGATCTGATACATTTAATTCATTCTGACAATGTGTCAACGTCTCTAAGGTCCTCTTTATTAACTATATTGACGTCCCCTGCATGTAATAACATGTCCAGCAGGACTATAGTTATAGGGCGAAGAAGAAAATAAACACGATGGACACGTTGGAGGATTATGTTTCAGAAACTCGGTATCCAGGCCATGAGAGTTTTTTTTTTTTTTTTGTAATTGAAAAGTTTAGAAGTAAAAAATACAAACCGTGTCTAATCCACTTTGAAGTACTTTAAAAAATTTTAAATTTTTTTTTTTTTTTTTTTTTTTTTTTTTTGATGTGTGTGTGTGTTTGTGTTCTTTACATTTGTAATAATTTAGCCCCACAAAGTTACACCATGTGCGGCGTTTGACGCAAAAAGAGCGTTTTAAAGCCGCTAGAATGGCGTCTACGGGTTGTGTGGGGTGTCTTTAGACAAATCTGTAAAGAATGAAATATATAAAAAAGATTGTGAATTCCTTTCATGAAAAATTGTTGTTGATAGATTAACAAACATTAAAATGTTCACAATAGATGATCACGGCATTAAGTTAGCAGAATACAATAAGTTGAAAATTAATTGTTTCACAATACTGGGTCAACCAGAAGTTAAGTGGATTGGGTATTTATCCGGATGCCATAGGCAAACGTCGGCCTACACATGCGCAAGAATGCTACAGAGTTTGTCCCTAAGACAACTTTTCATTCAGAATCATTCGCCTTATTCAATTCAGAATATGCCATTCATTGGAAAACCTTGATTTTAGATATTATGCATATCGTATTTATATATTCATTGGTGGATCTGAATATCTCTCTTATACTGCGATACATACACTTTCATCTGCAAACTAAACATTGATTCTATGGCACAAGCGTTTTAAAAAGTAGGAAGAACTTGCAGTATATAGATGTATAACTTTACAGCTTGAATTGAAAACTTCATTCAGCGATTTGTTCTACTTTTAAAAATACAAAACAAAATCATCACTGGCATCAGTTTGTGCAACAAGGCTTGCAAAATAAATTTATCTACAACATGCCAAATACAGTTTGATAAAGACCTACAGCAATGTTTCCATGTGGAGGAGGGGGCATCTCCAAAACAAATCTGCGTGCTATAATGCTTTGCTTCACGTACACCATCAGATCAATTTTCCAATAATAGATTTCTTCCGAATGAATTCAGAACAGATGTCAAGTCCAAGCCGTTATGGGTCACATGTATCAAAATTTTTATAAATGGCAATATCATAGGCTAATCGGAGATTAAATGAAACAATTTTGCTCTATATGAAAGCACTATTAGTCAAAGAAGGCAGATCATTGTAGAAATGTGAACGAATCTACAAGAATATTCACTAAACCTAGAAATTTTCTTTAATTAAATTTCGGTTAGAAACACATACATGCATATCATGCATATGGTCCACGTATTGTCCCTTTTTAGAGGACGCAACTTGTTTCATTTATAACCGAGGGAGTACTGTGGTAACCTCACAAACCACCTTTATCGATCAAGAATTTCATAGCAGGGCAAAAATGGTGCGCAGTGCACATCTGGATATTGGTTTTCGGACAAGAAAGTCGATCAAGGACATTTAATGACCCCATGACATTGTCAGTCCCACTGTTTTTAAGATAATGACATACCATATATACTAGTACTGATTCCGCAAATGTTCAATTCAAAAATAAGAATTACCACGTGGCGCGTAAGCAATTTTGTCCAGTGTTTTCAAATACAAAAGTGGAATCGTGGAAACGATCATTGATCATGTTGTTGTTTTGCTGCGATCGATAGATATAAAATGTACCTGTAAAAAGGGACATTATAAGGATCGTTGATGAATTTTAAAACATTCGACGAAGAAATATTATTCATTTTCTTTATTTTTTTCGCGCTCGATATTGTATTTTTTAATTTAGAACGCTAAAAAAAGAATAAAGGGTGTTGAATTTATTTTTAATGTATCGGATTAAATACAAGTGAAACTGTCGAGAGCATCTGAACAAAGACCTTTAAAATTAATGCCTAAAATACTTTTATAGCGAGCGCAGAGAGCTCAATAGACTAACGTGTAAGAACAGAGGAAATTCGGAATTGTACATACGTCAAGCAAATTTTGTTTTGAAACATTCCCAGAATTCCTGCACTACTGAATGTCCTTTGCGCGAATAAATAAATAAATAATAACGAAAAGCTTATATATATCAGGCTTTCAGTTTGTAGAAATCTTTCAAAGAAACAAGAAATAACTCTGCAATGTTTTTCGACAAAAATTGCACTAGTTCTATAGTTTCAAATAGACGCTCGGCTTTCTCCGTAAGCTCCGACGAGCTTTGTGACGTTGTATGACGTCACGGCTAGTCGGGATTTCTCGTGCGGCTTGACGTTCGAAGTGGCTGATTAATTTTTTAAGTGTTTTTGATGGTACTGCGCTCGCCCCAACGGTCACAGCGTAAAACATATATTCCAGTTGTTTTGCTAAAAAGTACTGTAGATAACTAGATTTTTGCGATATCTTATTTTCGCGAGATAGTCATTTACTCTTAAGACTTGAACAGTGAGATGGTACTTTTTTACAAATCAATTGAGACTGGTTGTACACGTAATATGTAAAGTTTTATTTATAGCAGTTTTCACATTCATAATACATATTTTTATATATTTGTTATAGGCTTCGGAATTCTTAAGGTTTCTGTCAGAATCAGA